AAGAACGCTTATGCTCATGAATTATTACATTATTTCGTTACGACAGTCAAATTGTTATACGGTGATCAACATATGGTTTTTAATATTCACAATCTACTTCACTTGGCATCAGATGTTCTGATTCATGGTCCTCTGGATTCATTCAGTGTTTTCTGCTTCGAAAACTTCCTTCATATAATAAAAACATTGATTAAAAAAGGTGACCTGCCCCTGGCCCAAGTCATGAACAGAATGGCAGAATTGTCGACTCTATCTCCAGTTAGAAAGTAGAGACTGCGATAGCGACTGGTACAATTCCGAAATCATTTTCATCTACAATGGTTCCTGCGAACAAACCTATATTCGTGACACTATCAGCTCCGAGTGCAGGTCTAAACATTGAAAATCAGCTGAATCCACTACGCGGAGGTGTTTCTTCGATAACTGTCCCTGCCTCCTCTGCCTCATCAATTGTGTCACCTCCAACAGTCACATCAACGAGTCGAACAGTTACCTTTGACGGACGGTATACCCCAGTATTACCAACTACCTCAACCTCATCCATGATCTCAGGAAGGCCTTCTTTCAAAAAACGGCAAAAACCAACTGCAATAGTTGTATCTGGACAATTGAATGTATCAGCTCAAAATACAGTCACATCAACGAGTCGAACGGTTACCTCTGACGGACGGCATACCCCAGTATTACCAACTACCTCAACATCATCCATGATCTCAGGAAGGCCTTCTTTTAAAAAACAACAGAAAGCAACTGAAGCAGTTGTGTCTGAACAATCAAAACAATCTGGCATAATCTCCCTCTCCCAAACAGTCCCAGCGACTACTCCGGATTCTTTGGACGGAACCAGCCGACACGACTCTTCCAGTCATTTGATCAACGGAAATGATAACCACAATGTTCCGACTCGACAACTTGAACTTCTACTCCAGCAAGAATCAGAAGATTCCTCTGATACAGAGTCCGAAAGGGATCGCCCTTTGCATAATGGACATGAAGATCAAATTGTGGCGAGAGTACTGGCTAATGGGCAAATGCAGGGACATTGCGAGAGAGATAAGAGCGATCGTAATGCTGTTGTTGATAATCGTCGTAGTGGTGTGAGAAACAACTCCCCACCACGTCCTGATGAAGCAGAAATTCGTGACCACCATCAGAATGTCCATAGAGAACCTCATACTCCAGCACATCATGCTCGAAGCTGCTGCGCCCACTGCGCCCAAAACCTAGAGGTTATGAGCCGTCAGATTGCACACATTCTTCAGCATCCGCGTCGAGACGAGCGGGACCGTGTGGTTGAGGACGAGCGGAACTTGCTTCCTGTGTTACCGTTGAATGAACGGCAGGCACTCGTGGAGTTCAGCGAGTCTCTCGGACAAAATCAAGCACTCCGCCAGCAATTCATTGCTTTGATCACAAGGCTCGGTGGTGCAGACTATAGGCAAGCTGTCAGCAACGCCATGGAACAAATAATAACCGATGAGCTCTGTGCACATGTCTCTTGGATAGGAGTGCATGGTTCAGAGAGTGCGCAAATTTACGAGTTATTTCTATCATAACAGGTATCATTATATGCCTTATAGTGTTGCTGATTTACCCATCGTCTTATATGCTGGGAATGTGATTTTGTCTTCGTCACCTTTGTATATGTTTCAGACATTATTGTAAATACAACAGGTTCAACAGTTGCGGCTGTTGAAAGACGAATAGCTGAGTGGCTTCGTCGATATGGTGACAGGCTGCGAGCAGCAAGAAGAGGTGGTGCTGTCTGCCGTAGAAGAATAAGGAGACCTGGTGAATACCGTTAAATACCTTTTTGACCCCTTAAAGATTGTGATGAACAGCTTTAAGAAGCCTCAAGATGTTATTAAGAATCTTAAGTATCCAACTTGTTACTTAGAGTATGTAATTCGTTGAAAGGGAAAAAGATAAGTACCAGAGTAAGTGACAAATGGAAAATTCGTTTTCAACTGTGGAAGGAGAAATTTGAATTGTTGATGATCAGTTAAAAATCGATTGCATGTGTTCTCCATCAGAAATATATGGTTTTTCAAGTCCTCATGAAAATAAAAGCTGTTGAAAATTACCTCTCAATACTAATAATCGTGTAATGTATTGGACTTTTACTGTAGAAAAAAAAATTGAAAGTTCATGAAGAGTTTAATAGTAATCAATAGAAAAGAATAGTTGAGTATTAATTTTCAAAAAAATATATTCTAATCAAGAATATATTCACCTGAATTTTTCAATGACGACAGTGTCTGAAATTGTAGTGAAAATTTAAAAATTAAAAAGCAATATTCACCAATCACTATTCAATATTGCATATTGAATATTATAATATAATAATATTATTAATACATTGGTATATTATTAAAATATTATAATATAACAACCAAAAAAGCAATACTCAACCTATTGCATTCTTTTTTTACATTAAAAATCAGAGGTAATTTTGAGCGGATTTTTCTCTTCGAGCAATCGATCATACTTGAGTTCATCAGCATCATCTCCTAGCGAGCGATCACTTAACCATCTTAAATTATGATTGATGACAAAAGGATTCAGACTGACATCACACGATCTTCTCCTCCTCAATGGAAATCTAATATAAATCTTTATCGAAAGCACCAGGCTTTTCAATTAAATTTTTTTATACGTAAGATGCAAGACAATAAGAATAGATTAAGAGAAAAAACAATGATAATTGAGTTGAAATATGAGAACGAAATAATCAATGTTGAACATTTTCGTTGACTATGACATTCCTCTCAGTAATAAACGATTTCAGGGGGAAATTTCCAGGAACAATGAATAATGAATATTCATAAAATTTACATAAAAATTTGTCATTAAAATCTGTCTTGACATTGTCCCTCTGAACTTCTCATTATTGAGACGATTCAATAATTAAGAAGATGAGCTGAGTCGATGGAGTATATTTGGTCGAATAGACTGATAATGTGATAATTGAAAGTGTAGAAAAGTTATGAAGAAACTCTCAACGTTTCAGCCATCTTATTATTCCTTACCAATGAAAAAAATCTGTAAGAGTATGACAAACATAAAATATGATGAACAAGTTTTGAAGTGCGCTGTTTCTAGGAGTCAATATTTTTTTTTATTAGTTTTTCTTCTGGATAATTTTAGACTTTTTTTCAGTTCTCGTCACTTTTTTATGTTCTTCATTTTCGCGTTAGTTGGTAAAAGATTAAAGATTAGGTCATAAGCTAGCTGGATAGTAGAAAAGGAGAAAAAGATATGAAAGACCGAGTAGGTTCTTAGTTTTTTGTATTACATTTTAAATCGTGAAGAGAGAGGGCGAGAGAGAGAGAGAAAGAAAGAGAAGAGAAAAACAAAAAATAATGAAAGATCAAATGACTCAATTGTTAGTTCCATATTTTTTGATGCGCCTAGTAAAATGAATCGACACGGAAACAGGAATTATTGATACTTTGAAATTGACCTCATTTTTGTTGGTAGATATTTATTTAGTACTCTACTCTCTCCCGCAGAAGATCTATTTTTGTTTCATTCATCTCGTTTCTCATTGATATGATAAAGAGCCAAATTTTGGTTCAGACGCTTTGTAAGGGATAAAAGAAGAACAAAAAGGCTTTGAAAATAAATTCAGGTCTCTTGTACGTTCTTCCCAAAATTATTAATTTTTACTCTCCTTGTTTTTCATCGATATTCTTTTTCACAGCCTTTTTATGCCTTTGTGAAAATGAAAAGAAATTGTTTTCACATAGGATGAATGTTGAAACACGAAACCAAGAGTCTTCTTTTATCCCCAAGTTACAGAATTTTAGTATTAATTTTCTTATTTTTAGTCTACATTTATTATCGATCAATAAAATATTGTTGATAACCAAAATTTAAAAAATATTGTCAATCCATTACACCCCTGTGTCCGCTCAACGAAAAGATGCCTGTGCAACATAACTACAAGACAACTACAAGAGTTGCCGATTTTGCGACTTTCAGGCACCAAAATGATTTGCTACTAGTTATCTGAAGGATCCACGTAGGAGTGATTCAAATCGACACGTTTAGTTAACGTCGGTGTGCCGAGAAGCCCAAGTAGCAAACCTTGCGAAAGATATCTGAAAGAATACCAAAAGGGCTGACTACTGTCCGTCCAAAAGGCATCTTGCAGTCATACGATAACTTTTAGTTCACTTCTAGGTAACTTCTAGACACAAGTTACCTTTTTGGACAGACATTAGACAGCCTTTTTGGTATACTTGCAGATACCCTCCAGAACTGTGCTGCTTGGGCTATTGGACTGTCTTGGAGACGGTTCATATTCTTGCTAAAAAAGAACGCTAAAGCGGTCATTAGACGTCTTTTAGGTGTACGTGGCGGTGATTTAATAGTCAGACTCATAGATGTCCACAACTTCCACAGATAACGCCGCGTCATCTCATAGATAACCTGATTCTTATAGGGCCACACTCCGGCGAAGAGCAACCTAAATCGAAAACGCTATCTCAGTAGTGAGTGAAGGGCTCAAACGGTATAATTCAATTCCATTCTGGCGTCAGTTATCGATGAATATCTCAAATTCTGAAGGTATTAGTAAAATTTTCCTAAAAATCTTGTTTGGAGAGAGAAGTGAAGGCTATCGAAAAATATTTTACAAAAAATTCGCTATCTTACTTAAATCCCGAGTTGTTCAACAAAAACTCAACTAGGAGCTAAGTCGACTTAAACCGATTTACCAATTCACTACTGATTTCTTGTCACACATATTCCTGCATTCAATGGAGACGAGGAAAATCTTCTAAAGATCTTGTGTGTATTTCCCATTTCGCTCTATAAAAAATGTTGCTATAAAATTTTTCCATCTATTTAGCTCCAAATATATAATATAATAAACAAAAACTCGTCGCCTATCAAACTTGGTTTATTTTCAATTCATTCTTCCTTTTTGTACAAATGAAAAAAAAAGTTTGTTTTGCAGAAAATTTGCATTTTTATGGAAAAATTCCAGTGTCTAATTTAAAATGATCTCCATGACTCATTTGTTCTCCTCTGTATGAATATTCACGAGAGAAAAATGTCGTGTTAATCTCGTCATGATTTCATTCCTCTGATAAGCGACTTCTCTGTAGCAAAATTGTGAAAATGCCAATGGGCATTCGTACTGGATAGTCTCCACACATTTTGTATCGTCTTCTGACTGCAAAAATGTGAATTCTGATATCGAGTTCACTGAAATGAGAAGAATTCATTCGTATTTATTTTCAATTGGAGTGTGATTTCTCATACATTGAAAATCGATTATATATGTCTAAAAACGAATAATTAGTGCAAAAAAAAGATTGTTTATTGTTCGTTTGTTCCGCACACGCTTAAAATGTTAAAAATAGTCCAGGGTCTCCAATTTTTGAACTACAGAAATTTCTTTTTTTTTTTCAAAATTTTTGAAAAAATGTGTGCAATAATAATTACGAATTAGTTTTTCGAAATTCGACTCCTACACAGCTAATTTCGTTTTGTTTAATATAAAAATTTGCGCCATTCATGTAAAATAGGCAGAAAAATTATCCTTAAAATATTTTAAATGTATTCGATTCTTTCAGATCCCTTTTTCAGGCTATCTTATATGAATGTTGCAATTTTTTATTTTAAAAATAAAAAAATTAGCGGGGTAGGAGTTGAATTTAAAAAAAACTAATTCGTAATTGTTATTGTACACATTTTTTTAAAAATTTTGATAAATATGAAACCTCTGTAGCTCAAAAATTGAAGCCCCTAGACTATTTTTAATATTTCAAGCGTCTGCGGGGCAAACGAACAATGAACAATTAATTTTTTTGTACTCATCTTCAATGTATGAAAAATCGCATTCCAATAGCCCGCAATTTTAAAACTCATAGTAGTCTCCCCTTAATTTAAAAACGGGAAGACTACGACAAGAAATTTATTCATCATATCTATTCCGCAAAAGTGAAAACTGAATGTACCACAATTAAAACCTTCGAAGAAACACGTCTGATGATTCGACGTGATCTTGTAGGAATGGCCATCCTGTCTGATAGAGAAGTGTCCATGTGCGATGTTTTTTACTGCTGGTATGTGATGTAGATGCTCTTTGTACTTGACTGAATATTTCCAGTGGTCGTAATTTCCACTTTCATTTATAATATCAAATTCTTCACTGTAAAATAAAATAATAGATCAAACACCATCAACGAGCCGGCCATTTCTAATGAATTGACGAAATAAGCATTCAGTAGCGAAGCGGTAAACCGGTTTAAGTCGATTTTGACTATTGGTCAGTTTTCAACAAATATCTCGAAATGTACGGGAGATAACAAAATTTTTGTCATTATCTTTTCTGTAGCCCTCAATTCGCTCTACAAAAATTGCTCTTTTTTGTAGAGCGAATTGAGGGCTACAAAAAAAGTCTTCACGAAAATTTCATTATCTCCCTTAGATTCGGAGATATTCATTGAAAACTCAGCTAAGGGCTAAGTCGACTTAAATCGTTTTACCGCTTCGCAACTCAATTGATAAACCATTTCCATTAATTGCAAATAATTGGATAACATGCATGTAACATGTTTTTATTTCACAATTTTTTTATGAAGTATCATTCTCAAGATGAAATATTTTTTATGATGAATCGGTGCATTTACCTCTCACTTATAGACGAAGAGGAAATTATAAATCCAAGTCGTGAAACAAAACAAATCAGTTCTACTTTGAGAAAAGTTCTATTTTGTTCGAAAATATCTTTGAATCTAAGAAAGATTAGACGCAAATCTTAGAAAGCTTCTTTGCTTTATTCAGGAAATTGAGAGCTCTAAAGAATGCTCTCATAAAAATTTTACTATCTCACTGAGATTTCGACATATCAAAAAAATATATCAATCCCAAACAAAACTGAATCTTTAATTTTGTTTGCTTCGTTATTTAATTCTTTGAAAAGTGCTGAGAATTTGTTATTTATATTGAATTAAATTAGAAAATAGTACTTACATAGTTGGATTTAACTTCAACATATTGCTGAAATCGGCCACGAACTCCCAGACACTCTTGGCCCTCGTGTTTTTAATCGTGAACTCAGAGACAAAATGATGATTTTTTTTAAATAGAAAAATCATGTAGAATACAAAAATTCCGAGGAATAAATATCCCAGGGTACGCAGCTTCCATTTCAGTGGATTTTTACCCATCGTAAAAAACACAACTTTAAAGTCAAAATAATTCCCAAGAAATATTTTCTCAATGGACAGGATTAAAAATTATAATTTAAAGTAATTAACCAGTCTCGAAGCAACAATTTGAAATCATGTAAAGTTGTAACGCAACTCCCTCGACTATTAGCTTCGTCTTTCTCAGTCTTTCTCAACCGACACCGTTGGAACTGATAGAATTGAAAAACGAGAAGAACGAACATCCCTTCGGGAATCTCCGGGACATTTCCGGCTCCCCAGGTCCATTTGGAGTCTGTTTAGGCGTTCTCGTCGCGATAATGAATTCAAAGCCCACGCAACGAACAACACGTGTTCCAAATTTTTTTCTCGCTCATAAACACTTGTCTGCGCATGCTCAGAATACCAAATGAAAATAGTTTGAATAAAATTCTGATGTACCTATAAAGGTTCGAATAATCGAAGCGCTTTTTTTATTCATCGCATTTAAACCTGTTGGTTGTTCTGCTGAAAAAAAATGTTTACATCGTATTCAGGTCAATACAGTATCATATAGTACATTCTTTATTTTTTATATAATTTACTTGAGTCTGAAATACTTAGTCCAGAGAAGGCTAAAACGGCGTCTATAAGTTGTAATGTTGTTCTATTGAGTTAAAAAAAATTAATCTCATAGAGTGGGAGGAGACACTCTCTTTGTAAACCAGACAGGAGTTTCGGACGGTGTATGTCATGTGCAGGACATTACCAGAGCACGTGATTTAGATTCTTCTCAGGATACCCACAACTGCAAGCAGCAGATCTAACAATACCCACTCTCTTTAAGGATGTTTATCCAAAATAGCAAGTATTCAAAAAAATTGATTTTTCATTCACTTGAGCGATGAAGTTATTTCCTTTATCTTGATAAAAATTTCAATCCACCAAACCACATTTACTATTTAGAAATGGAGTGGACAAAATGCACCAAACGCATGCGCCAACATGCGCACATATGGGATGGAATTTTTCATATATTTCCTCTTTTTGCCCGGGTGCTCCAAATTTTTCTCTGGCTATTCCGTTCAGTACAGTTTTGCATATTACCTTTTATTTTTATTTTTAGTCTTCTAGTAGGTGAATTATAAATTTCAACAATAATCCCATAAGAGCCCGTGTATAAAGAAAAATTTGGTTATTCATTTCTGGCGAGAGAATTGAGATTTTTTTTAACATCAAAGAAGTTAATTTCATATGTTCTGCTATCAGCCAAAAAATTATAGAATTTTCCTTGAACATGAAAAAAACATCCTTAAAGAGCTGATAAGATTGTAATGGTTGCCTCTGGCTCTGTTCGCCCATGAGATAGCCCTTCGCGGGAGTATACTGTGCTGGGTAAACCATGGTTTCTTCTTTTATCGAAGCGCTTTATATCAGTTTGAAGTAAAAGACTTGAGATTGAGTTTTTTCGAAAATTCAAAAGGTTTATTTAACGTTAATTCAACATAGTATTAAATAGTGGTCTTAGAATAGTTTTGTACCTTTTATTTACATGCATTTAATCGTCAATATCACAAGATGTCCGTTTTTGAGAATGAAAAAGTGTTAGAATAATTTATTGCTGGCTAGCGAGTATTTGTCGAATTGCGGACTTCGAATGCTTGGCATCATGAGCTTATGACTTCTTCTTGCTTCTTCCTCATGGCTGCAGCGTGTTTGGAGAGCATGTCGCCCGTAATACTGTTTTTGTTCATTCTTTTCAGATTTAGAACCCTGATGAGACCGTTTCGATAGCCTACAGCAATCCAGAGGTAACTCCAACCGTTTGAATTCCACGAAATCTGTGAAATCATGAATTATCCATTGACGTGGATTCAAAGTATGTGGCGATGCGAATTTTAATGCGAATAACTTTGTTATCTTCTATCAGTCTTCGAAGAGATGAAAAAATCAAAGTGAATGAATTTTAAAAAAGAGCTCTGAATTTCCAGTATCTGATGATGCCATGACACGATTTAAGATGTTTTTACCTGTATTTCTTGGGGGGGGGAGAAACGGAAGGGGAGTCTTATTGTTCTCGAGCCCTGTTTCAATCCCTGATCACGAAAATTGTCAATGTTCAAGTAGAAATGTGGAGTGACCGTAATTTTCCCTTTCGGTTAGGTCAGACGTAAATGACCGGTTTTTAACCGTTTTCTGACCCTGACCGAATTTTGTATGCAAAATGACCGCCACCGTTAAGCTGCGTCAGGGGCGATCCAAAATTACCAAAAATCATCTATATATAGTTGCAAATTGACCGTCATTTTTTGGGTCATTTTTTAAGGCTTCGATCGGAAACCTTTTTAATAGAATTGAATTATTGTCATTTATTATTTTATTTATTAATTATTATCAATGGCCTCGTTCTCACTGACACACTGTTAGAAAAAAAATGACATTTCATGAACAGTTGACTCTTATTTTTTAGGACACTACCACTGAATTAACAGTGTAGAAACCGCTTGTCTACACTGACAAAACAAATTTTTTTTGAGAAGTACGTCTGTACTTGTATCAAGAAATTCATAGCTCGAAAATTACCAAGCGCCCAATATCTCACACTAAGAAAAAAAAATCTTACGCCATGAAATTTGATGTTTGGCCGAAAGATGAGGGCAAATGATTCATATCAAGAAAACGAGTTCTCAAATGAATTCAAGTGGTTTTTGCATTAAAATATTTTAGAATTGAGGTTAAAAAACTATTCAATGAATTAATTAATTTTTACTTAGCATGAGAAATCGCTTTCTTGTCATTAAGAAATTATCCTCGTTTCTAGGACAAGTAAAACATTTCTTGGCGAAAGTTTTTTTCTCTTGGTGCAAGATATTTTGTTCTTGAAAATTTTAAAGCCACGAGTTTCTTGATATAAGTAAAGACGTACTTCTAAAAAAAAATTGTTTTTTTCAGTGTAGTACTCGAAAATTGCGAGTCATCTCTATAAATGGAAATTGACGGTCAAAATTTATTCGGTCATTTCATGCTTACGACCAATCGTCATTTCTTGTTCTGACGATATGGTCAGATTCTGGGCGCGGTAATTACCGGTCATGACGGTGGTCATTGACGGTCATTTGACCGGTCATTCTTGTCACTCATATTTCTATTTTCAAGTGACTATTTCAGTGTGCATTTAGAAATTTTTTGAATGCCGTCTTTGTGTCGGATTGCTGATTTTTTTCCCATCACTAACGAGTGTCAAAGTATTTTTATTGGACGATTTTCTAATTATTGAAACAAGATTAAAATGCATCAGAGACATGACAATGCCACATGGATCATTCCTGTGGTTATTTCGAGTTAGTAAACCTGCACAGTATTTTCTCTCTCTCAATTCCATGGGTTAGCCTATACCTCTCCCATGATACTCCAGCGATTATACTGACATTCGAATTACGCGCCACTTGAATTGCACACGTGTCAGATGCAATGAATACAATTTGCCCCGAAACTCATGATTCTCCGTATCATTTTTTCAAATAACTTTCGTATGAAATCTAGGAAATCTCTGGAACTTATACGTACTTTCAAGCAAGATTTTATTTATCACCCACTAGTTTTTTTCCAGAAGTTCATTTTTTGGAGATATGAAAATTTCCCTAATGGAGAATGAAATCAGTAGGGAAGCGGTAAAACGGTTTAAGTCGACTGAGCCCTTAGCTGAGTTTTCGATGAATATCTCCGAATCTAAGAGAGATAATGAAATTTTCGTAATGACCTTTTTTGTAGAGAGCTACAAAACAGGTAATGACAAAAATGTTGCTATCTCCCCTAGATTTCGAGATATTAGTTGAAAACTGACCAATAGTCCAAATCGACTTAAACCGATTTACCGCTTCGCTACTGAAGTAATCTCGGCCTTTACAGTTGGAGAAATTACGAAAAAATCCAAATTTCATCATTTTTTTTTCTTGAGGCTGAGATATTGAAAAAAAAATACAAAAAAATTGTCAATAATGCAGCATACTCCGATATTTCTCTCACCAATTTTTCATTTTTTCTTCATTCTTTTAACTTTTCACTGGAAACACCTTGATTAAATGAATCTAGTCTCATTTTTTAGGGTTGGTTTGTTCATGTTCCTTTTCCTCTAAAAGTCCGTTTCATAAACGGAGACTTTGATAAACGGTCTGTTGAAATAATACATGGAGACCTCTGGCGAAACGGATGATTAGGCAAACGGATCGTTTGTTAAACGGTCTTTAGAGCAAAAGGTACATGAACAAAGCGGCCCTAAGTTCAATTCATCCAATTTTCTTCAAAGATTTCTAGGGGAGAGTGGGGAAAAATGAAACAGCGGGGCAAAATGAAACCGTGGGACAAAATGAAATAGTAAAAAAAACGACTGTTTGACGCAATTTAAGCAAACAAAATTTTTTTTTATTAAATTTTTTTATGAACTTTTTTTTAATTCTTGGGAGTACTGATGAGAATAATAATTTTCCATTCAGTAGAGTGGAAAATTTTTGAGAATTTTTGACGGGCGAAGATTTTGTCAATGGATTAATTGAAAAAAAAAAATGAAGCAGCAAAATCCAAAGTCCAGAGCAAGGTCCAGGGGGAGACCCAGAGGGCGAAAAAGCAAATTCTGATGCTGAATTTCAATCGAATAATCCATTGACAAAATTTTTGCCCATCAAAAATTCTTAATAATTTTCTATTCTACTGAATGGAAAATTGTTATTCTTATCAATACTCCTAAGAATAAAAAAAAGTTTCCAAAAAAAATAAAAATAAAATTTTTTTTTCTTAAATTGGGTCAAACAGTCGTTTTTTTGTCGGTTTTACTCTGCCCCATGTTTCATTTTGCCTCACTATTTCAATTTTGCCCCAATCTTCCCTACCTAAGTTTCCTAGTACCTTCAAATTTCAAAATTCCAGAAAGTTGTCGTAATTCCCTGACTTTTTTTCTGACATTTCCAGACCAATCAAATTTGCTGATAATTCCCGGTTTTCCAGATTTCCCTGACGACTGGACACCCTGAGACAATAAAAACCTCTCTAGAATCCAAGATATTTACCCTGTTGATAGCTGCAATGGGATACTGCTCCATCGGCACCTGCTGCATGGTATCTGTACTCAAGAACCCCTTCCTGTCGTGTTGTGACATCCAGGCGACGCCTCTCGTATTATCGAGGTCATCGCAAAACGCCACTCCAAACCTCTCCTGGCACTCCTCGTACTTTGCCGGCTTGTACTCGTACTCCTTGCCCGCCTCTTTCTTCTCAAAATCCACGACCTTGACATTGGAGACGAGCCACCTGGTTCTCGAGATTTTATCAATCTCCTTGGGATAAAGCATTTGCGGAGGGAAGATGGCAACGATTTCTCCAGCACCAGTCCCCTGGCAGATCCCATTAGCCCAATCAGAGCTGGCGATGGCGTAAACCGGGGAATTCGTAGGGAGAATAGGTAGGACCCTGGTTGCAGCCTCCCTGATAGGCGCGAGATACGTCTGAGTATGCGCCAGCCCCAGGACGTCGTCGTAAGACGTCAGAATTGTCGGCCAGTGGGTCATCCAGGTACCGTTGACAGCGACTCCCTTCTTCAGAAGCCAGAAGGGGAGGCTTGTGTCCTCCAGGTCCCACATTTTCGAGCATCTGTCCATCCCAGCGGTCACCAGGTACCTTTTCTCCTCCAACGGAACGATAGTAACGAACATGACGGCGTGGCCGTGAGCGTAAAAGTGCATGAGCGGGTGCAGGTGGATCGTTGACGATTGCTTCGTTCGGAGGAGCGGCGATTTTGTGCTCAAGTTCCAGAGGGCGACGTAGCCGTTGGCGAAACCAGCGGCTAGAGTGTCGTGGTTAGAGGTCTTCGACCAACAGAGGGTCATACATTGCGACGCTGTAGCTGCTTCATCACTAATATGTAGAACCATCACAGGATCAGTCTTGAACAGCTTTCCCCCACTTCCCACCACCTCGGGAAACGGCATCGAGTAAATATGAACGAGGCCTGAGGACATGGCCGCAGCGAGCAATCCCATTCTCTTGCCTCCCTCTTCGTACCCACCGGAGGGACACCACTCCAGACACCAAATCGTTCCTCCTTCATGTCCCACCGCATAACACAACTCCGGAGTGCTCGGGTACGTGGAATCGTTCCCCAGCGCCCCCAGATTCCAAATCTGAATGCAATTCTTTCCGCAGTAGCTCCTCCCCACCTCGAAATAGTCTTCCATCCCCTTGTGAGTACTGATCGCTACAAACTGCTCAGGCTTTTTGTTGTGCATCGTAGCGGGGATTGGCATCCAAGCGAGTCCCCAGACAGGTCCTCCAGTGAAGAACATCGGGACACTGTCAACAACATCAGCTCCGAATCTGTCCCACCTTCTCCAGTCCTCCTCCCTTACCTCTTCATCCTTCAGCCTTAAAACACTCGTCGGCATTGACACCTTCAACTTGGGAAGATACTCCTCAGGGTCATCAACCATTTCAAATCCGTTCACCTCGAGCTCCTCAAACAGCCTCAATCCATAATACTCTGTCTGGAATTCAACAGTCCACTTCAGGGCAGGTCCAAACGTCGTGGTGCTGGCGTAATTCCTGATGTGAATATAATTCCCCAGGAACTTAGCCTTCGGTCGTGCGCGAGCCCTCGGCGCCGGGCCCCTCCTCCTCTTCGTCTCCCCGTCCTCGCCTATCATCTCTTCCTCATCCATCTCCTCATCATCATCCTCCTCCTCCTCCTCCTCCTCCTCCTCTTCCTCAGACCCCTCACTGCCATTATAATCAGAATCATCTACGTTGACTTCACTCGAGTGCACGTCTTTCACGTGCCCCACAATCTCCGAGTTTTTCTCACATGACCACTGACAGATCTTGCAGACGAACATGGTCCTCGGGATGAAATTACAGGTGCTGTAGTGCTCGCAGATCCCCCGGAGTGTGGGTGAAGAGAAGTCGCAGTGAGGTTCCCTGCAGTAGGCTTTCTCATTGTGGTTTATCGCCCTGGCCCACATGGCTTTCCACACCGAAGGAATTGTCTTCACCGGTATGGGTTGGTCTATGAACTCCTTAATTCTGGCACCTAGTTTCTTCTTCTTCGCAGGGGGATCGTCGGACGCCTTCACTAGCTCCGTGAACTCGGAGATTCTCGTCGCAGCCCTCTCTGCTGCCTTTCTCTTGACTCTTGAAGTGTCCAGGTCGACGGTCTCCTTAACGATCTCTTTCTTCTTCTTCTTCTTCTTGCTGGGAACGATTCCCTGGTCTCTGTGGACCCTCTCGTGGTACTCCTGGGAGGACGGCATCAGGATCACCCTGCAGATCGGGCAGGTCCACATGAGGGACTGCTTCTCAACTTCTGTTTTTCCGCAGAAGGTTATGTGGGAGATGAAACCTGCCACTGATTTCTTCACAGTTGCGCAGCTCTCGCAGGTCAACGACGGCTTCTTCTTCTTGGTCTGAAATAAGAGACGAGTCAGGGCTTTCAGGTCTGAGAAATCTGGCTCGGGGTCTGTGGATTTCCACCCCATGTTGTTGTGCTTCATGAGGTTGTGACGAGCCCACGAAGTCGAAGCTATCTCTTCCTGGCATTTCCCACATTTGGTAGTTGCTGGTTGAGGTTTCGATGGCGTGGGCGACGGTGGGGTTGGGGTGTCGGTATATTTGGTGGCGGAAATAACTCTGGGGGTGTATTCTGGGTCCACTGGGAGGGAGGAGCGACCACGACCTCGGCCTGGCTTCCGACGACCTCGACCTCGACGACTCTGGGGAGGGGGAGGGAAAGATGGCTCTTGGTCGGACTCACTGAGACCTTCACCGTCGGTCTCGTCGGGACGGGTCAGGGCTTTTCTTTGACGGGTTTCAGGGTCCCGAAGAAGATCTCCTGGGTCTTGTGGGGGTTCTGAAGAGGGAAGAGGTACTACTGGTGGGGGAAGAAGCTTCTCGAGCTCTGCTTTCTTCTTTCTTCCTCGACGTTTTGGAAGGTTTGGGCTTATCTGTGGGGGTTCCTCGGAAGCGGGAACGTCTGGTTGCTGTTCTAGGCTTGGGGGACGTTTTTGTCTGCCTTGACGTTTAGGAGATTCTTCAGGGACTGGAGACAGATGGTGGGGTTCGAGGACTGGGGAATCTGAGGTTCTTAAGGGTGCAGGGTCGCCTGGACCAGAGGTAGGGGCTCCTGGAGAGACTATCAGGTCTAGAGAGGAAATGTTCTCTGTTTTCCTCTTATGGATGGATTCTTCTGGGCGTTTGTGGATTTCCGCAGAGACTTGAAGGGCAGGAACTTCTAGGAAGTTGTCAATTTCTGGTTGATCTTTATTTGGAATTGTTTCATCAAATATCACTGGAGGTGTTTCCACAGGATTCTCTTCAGGTTTACATCCATGGGGTTGATCACCACCTGTTGATATTTCTTCAACTTTTCTTCCATCAACTTTTTCTTCATTTGATACTTTAGATCCTTGGGACTTCCTTCTTGATGAACTTTTAGCTTTGGGCTCAACATTCTTCGTCACATCAGTGTCAGGTGCTTGTTTAGATGCTCGAGATATTCTTCTCAATGGTTTAATTCCTGGTTTTGCTCCAATAATTTTCATTGAATTAATTTTCTCTCTAGTTGTTGAAGACGATTCTGAAGTAACGTCAACCATTCCTGCCCCAACTTTTTTTTCTCCACCACGTACTCCAGTTTTTGAAGAACTTTCCAATAATACCGTTGTGATTTCTTCTGAATTTATCTCCTTCTTATCATTTTCGCCATTAGATCCGTGGGACTTCTTTCTCGATGAAATTTTAGCTTTTGGTTTAACATTTTTCGTCACACTATCAGTGTTAGATGCTGTTTGTTTAGATGCTTGAGATATTCTTCTCAATGGTTTTATCCCTGATTTTGCTCTAACAATTTTTATTGAATGACTTTTCTCTCTAGATATTGAAGAAGATTCTGAAGCAACTTCAACCATTCCTGCCCCAACTATTTTTTCTTCATCAAGTGCTCCAGTTTTTGAAGAACTTTCCAATAATATCGTTGTAATTTCTCTTGAACTTATCTCCTCAATGTTTTCGCCTTCAGACCCTTTACCTTCTCCTTTCAATGAAGTTCCTAGCTTCGATATTTCCAAGGCAACTCCTTTTAATTTTTTCATGGCTTTTTTCTGAGATTTCTTCAGTGATTTTGAAGCAACAGAAGACACGACCACCTCACTATCATCAACTGCAACTGAAGTGTACGATTTAACTAATCTTTCTGAAGGTTTTTCTGTAAAATCTAAGTCATTAATGTTTTCTCCAAGTTCATGCCTTGTTTGAGCTGATACCAAGATCTCAGAAACTTTAATCTCGGATTTTTCTGGTGGCATTGGCCTTTCAGATAACTCATTCATCTCTGCTTCACGATTTGATTCCGCCAAATGACAGGAAACATCTTCCTCTCGAATTCCTTCTTCAGAGCCACCAGCCACTGATCCCTCAGATATTGGAGCTAAATCATTCAACATCATCGAAGGTCTTTCATCAGCCACTGATTGCCTAATTTCTTCATTATGTTTCTCTGTAGATCCTGAAAGCTTGACGCCCTCAACGATCGTTTGTTTCTCGTCCACTTGCTTCGAATCTTTTCCCTCAACGTTTGATGATTCAGATCTGGATTCGTCAATAATTAATTTCTTTGGGGAATCCCCTTTTGTTGAAGAAGAGAAACTCTTCTGTTTGCGTGGCGTTGGTCTACTGCTTAATAGATTAACAATTGCGTCAGTCTGATTCTCTAGGTTTTTACGATGTTTCGATGGTCCCATAATGCAGTCCTCGAAGATCTTTGGTTTTGCTTGTCTGCGAGAGGTTCTTGTTGGACTCGGGGTTACCAGAGGTGTATTCTCTTCAGTCTTGATGGATTTTGAGTTCTCCTGGAGAGATTTTCTGGGAATCTTTTGGGCTTTTAAATATCCCACATCGATTTTCGAGGCTCTCTTTCTTTTAAGTTTTGGATTAGAAAATTTGATGGGATCATTATTATCGATTACTTTTGCCTTCTCTGTAGTTTTTACTGGACTTATGAAGATTTCTGGATTTTTTCCCGGTTCATCATTCGTTGAGTGAGTGACTGGCCGTGGAATTTCAGTCAGGGATATAATTTTGGGAAGAGGGAGCGCATTATTTGTTCGTGAATTCTCGTGTTTCAAGTTTATGTCCACTGCTGCCATCAGTACGTCGAGATTGTTCAATGGTTTTGGGGTTGATGATTCATTATTTGATATTTGATCATCAAATCTTTGTTTGGTGCCTGCGGAAAAATCTTTACCTGGAGATTTTGGAGGATTGAGGTCATTTTGAGGATCAGTAGGATCCTGAAATTTTTCCGAAGTTTTTAAATTTGTTATCAGCTTCACAGGAGAGTTGGCTAATTTTCCTGGTGCTGTGTCTAGTTTCGTGGAAAATGGTTCTGGATTGATTGATAACAATGGGCTGGATAGCAGTTGATTGTCGTTCTGTACAGGAATTGTAGCTGGAGTTTTGTTGTCTTTTTGAACTCCTCGAGTCAACGTACGAATAATTTTGCCTTTCGGTTTGAACGATCTGGTATTTGCCAATCTTGATAGGGATTCGGGACTGTTAGTGACCTTGACTTCTGAAGGTTCCTCTTCAGTCCGGATTTGTTGGATTTGTGTTGATTTGAGAGAGTCCTGCACTTTTTTAGGTGATTTATTAGCTGATTTTGTGTCTTGCAGGTGTACTAAATCATCATTTCCTCGATCTTCAGTATTTTTATTCTGTAGGACTGAAGATTCCGGAAAAATTTGGGTTTTTGCAGCAGATATTGGTGATTTGTCAAATGGAATTTTTGTTATTAATTCATTCATTGGAGCTTTCACTGGAGCCCTTGATATTCTGAATGACTCTGTTGATGATTCTGTCGATTTCATATCTTCAATCTCCACAAATTTGTAATTCTCTTCAGTATTCCCCGTCCGTATCGACTTTTTAGAATTTTTCGTGATTGCAAGAGATTCATTTAACAATCCACCATCAACTTTTTGTGATTTATCATCCATTGGAGTCACAATTTGCGAATTCTTGGAGTCAATTCTCTCAAGTAGTTGATCTTCCTGAAGCGAATTACAATTCATGGAGGCATTGTTCCTCTCCGAAATCATTAATTCTACAATTTCTACTGTCTCTGTCACTAATTTGTTATCACTGGCCTCATGATTTTCATCTCCTCGAATAAATTCTCCTCCTTTAGATGAATTTTCAGTTACTGCTGCCCCTCTTTGGTTCTCCGATACAATTTTTTGTTGTTCTTTCACGTTTTCAGGATATTTTCGCAAGTTTGTGGGAACTTCAATCAACTTTGTCTTCAGTTTTTCTTTGTTGACACCGATTTTATCGATTATTTGATTCTCTTGAACGGGTTCCGAGGGTTTGACAGATGATTTGACTTTTTTATTCTCGTTGTCAAGAGTCTTCTTCTTGGAAACTATTCGAACCTTGTCGGAAGGAATGATGAGCTTCGGTTTTGGTGCGGCTGAAGATCTCTTGGAGTCGGCTACTAGTTGAACTGTGTTCTCGGGTTTGATTTTACTCTGGATCTGTTTCAATTGGTCCGTAAGGCCCAACTTTTTTAGCATATTCGGGGTCAATACGAATACACGTGAAGCACCTTGCAGGGCGGTCTTAGGGGCTGCTGACGTTGATGGAGTGTTTGCAGACATTGGTAATAATCTGTGGACAAGCGAGAAAGATAGTCAGTCTTTTTTGCTTTTGAAGGGAAGCTATGTATTCGTATATGTGTAGTCTTTTTTCAATTTTTTTTCAGAATATTTTTTCATAAGAGATCCATGATTTTTTTCCTGGGCATAGACTACAATCCATCGCCATCAATTTAATAAAATTTCTAAAATTATGATATTTTTCAAAAAAACAATTTTTCAACGATCGCTTAAAAATCATTGAAAAGAAATAATGATTTATAGAAAAAATTGATGTCGATGGTCCCTTGACTCCATCAGAAAATGATGGAGTCTCGCATTCCATCCATATTCCAGCATTCGTTATTGAATTAAGACATATCTTTTGTGACATTGTTTTTCAAAGACGATTTTGTAACAATTACTACAAAGTTATTCATGAAATCAATGAAATTATGACTGAAGAAATTTGCTCCAATGACCTATTAGTAACGTCATAAGATGATATGCATGGAATTATTCATTATCGAGTTACGAGATAAGCTAATGAACTTTTGCTTTCAAATGAAAGAAATATTGCCATCAAAATTTGAGCTTCCGATTTTTTGTGTTGGAATAATTAAATATTGTCTAAAAAGTCCGAACAACAGTTGTGTCCTACAAGTGTTGGTATGTATGCGTATATGATGTTAATTTTTTTGAAAATTCTTTTTGCTTTCAAATGGAAGCTTTGTAATTGCTCAAATTTAAGTTTCCAATTTTTGGTTTCAGGGTCACTAAATATGGTCGAAAAAGTTCGAATATGCGATTTTTAGATGGTGTCTGTATGTGTGTATGTGGTGTGTTTTTTGTTTTCATTTTTTTCAAAATTTTCTTATAAGGGGTCAATGGAATTTCATGATTTTTTTCATGAATATAGACTTTCATAAGCTCTATTTATTGACACCAATTAAAATTCAATTCGTCATACAGATTCGAAAAAAATTATATTTGTCAAAAAATCGATCACTCAAACAATTGTCATAAACATGAAATTAGTCATGGCTCAAAAAGATTAATAACAATACTCTCTTGGATCTACCAGAATATGATGGGGGTCGTAGAATTCGTTATCGAGCTATAGCACATTGTTTATGCGATTTGGAAGAGAAAATCGTTTTGCTCATAATTACTGAAAGATCTAACGATTGGGCGCTTCGCGTCTGTCGCTAGATTTGTTTATACTATGTTATTTTAGTTTCTTTCCATTTCCGTCTTCACAATTAGATTAATTTAATTTTAGCCATTCTTATTAATATTATATATATTCCGTAATTCCTTAATTCCTAAGTTACAACACTGAATGAAGAGGAATTCCCCATAAGTCACGTGAGAATACAGACCGACAAATAATTTTCGATAATCATACCAAAAATTTTTCATTTCTTTCTTTTTTTAAATTAATTAGTACCAATGATCTGAAAATGTGAACGAATATGAACATTTTACATCCCTTTGATCTCATTTCAATGAAACCGAAGAAGGAAATTGCAAAGAGTGATCGATCATCACCAATCAGTATCAATAAAATGAAAAAATCGATTTTTCCATCTTGAAAATTTCAAAACGTTTTGTTTAATAATGCAGAAAAACCAATGTATTTTCTTCCTATTATCTAATTCTAATGGAAGAAAGTGAACAGTGGAAGAGAAACGAGATCAACACAAAAACAGAATTTTTAATTTTTCAATGTCTAGGGAAAATTTTAAAATTGATATTTTTTCGAATAATGAACCAATACCGATAAATTCAATTCCTATCCAAACATTTTTGTAGAATACATAAAAAAAATAGCAAAGAATTCAAATCGGCGATGATAAATTTTATCGGATTATTAATATGTAATAATAATAATAATTATCAGTAATAGCAATTAAACAAGGCTTCAAAAGAATATTTCAGTGCCTTCTTAATCAAGTTGAAAAATGGTGAGGATAGCTTTATTGCTTATCAAGTTACACAATACCATCATAAGTTTTTTATATCGAAATCTCTGTTATCTTAAATACTTATGCATATTAATTATACATTTATAAACAAATGCAGGTGTCCACTCATTTTTATTAAAGGAGATGATGTCATAGAATCGAAAAATTTAAGGATGTTTAGCCAGTGTCGGTAAATTATCGGTAAATGTGTTTTTTTCTCATGGTTAAGGAAAATTCTGTAATTTTTTCAGCTGACAGCAGAACCTATACAACTAACTTTTCTAACATTGAAAAAAAATAATCACTGTAGTCTCGGCAGAAATGAACAAACTAATTTTTTCTAATACATGGGATCTTATGAAATTTATCTTCCAATTGATAATTACCTTCTAGAAGACTCTAAAAATAGAAATAAAAAAATAGAAAGTAATGTGTAAAATCATACTGAATCCAATGGCCAGAGAAAAATCTGAGGTACCCGGGTAAAAAAAGGAAATATTTGAATGATTCTATCCCATATAAGCGCTCTCTTTAGCGCATATATTTGGGGCATTTTGTCTATTTCATTTTTAAATAATGAACATGGGTTGGATTGGATTAAAATTTGTATTAAAGTGAAGGGAACATCTTCATCTCTCAGTTTAAAAAAAAGTACATTTTTTTAAGTACTTGCGATTTTGGACAAACATCCTTAATCCATTCGGAAGCATATTTTTAATACATTCGCAACAGTAACTATGCACCGTTGTATCAATGCAATTATTCACTCAGCTTTCATTTTCAAAATATTTTTTCAAAGTTTATAACGAGATATTATTCGTTTGAATCTTATCGTTTGTTCAGAAGATATTGATAATTTGAGGTCAGTTTCAACTCCTCTGAACCATTCCCAGTGATTTCAGCGATTGAAAAATAATAATCAACTTTTTTTTTATTGAATTAGTCAACGAAATTGTTGTAAACGGATGAAATTGGAGAGTAAAAAATAATGTTGAGATATATAAGCGGGGATTCGATCGTAAGAACTTGAGATTACCTCGTCGGATCGCTATCCACAAAGCCAAAACATGTTAAAGCGAAAGACATAATGTTTTAGATAATCTTGAATAGAATCTAATATTTTTCAGAATTATGTCCCAAATACTTGATTTTTAGGAATTATTGAAGAGGAAATAATGGAACAATAAGGAAAATTATGAATTACTTTCAATTTTTCAAAGTTTATAACGAGATATTATTCGTTTGAATCGTATCGTTTGTTCAGGAGACAATTTGATAATTTGAGGTCAGTTTCAGCTCCTCTGAACAATTCCAGTGATTTCAGCGATTGAAAAATAATAATTAACTTTTTTTTATTGAATAAGTCAAGGAAATTATTGCAAAAGGATAAAATCAGAGAGTAAAATAATGTTGAGAGATATGAGCTGGGATTCGATCGCAGGAACTTGAGATCACGTCGTCGAATCGCTATCCACAACGCCAAAACACGTTAAAGCGAAAGACAATTTTTTAGAGAATCTTGAATAGAATTTAATGTCTTTCAGAATTATGTCATAAATAATTTTGTTTTTCATGAATTATTGAAGAGGAAACAATAGAAAAATAAGTAAAATTACGAATTTCTTTGCAATAAACTCACGTTTCTCTTTTAATCTGATGAAATCCGTAGGTTATGGTGCTGCAATGAACGACAATGTGAGCAAATGTGAGGCACGACAAATATTCATGCATGCACCGTACCCTATCTTTAGCACTGCTTATCATTAAATTGTTTGAATTGATAAAATGTAAGTATTAGAGGGTGACAATGATTTATAATGAAAAAAAAAAAAATTGTGACGAGGCAGGTCTCGAACGACTTGTCTCGGTTGGATCATGCCTTGAACTGCTTGAACTGTCTCGTGGGCATTGGGAGAGGCGAGCCGATGTTTTCATTCTGCGCATGATCGAGATTTTTTTTGCACCAGGTGGTTTAAAGATGAACAAATTTACGAAAAAGGTTTTTTCCATAGGTCAGGAATGGCATTTATTCTTATAAAAGCCAAAAACACATTCTTTTTCTAATGAAAATTACGAGTTAATGTTCTTCAGCAGAGGTATTTCTTTATTGCTTTTATTCAATCATAATCTTGATTAATCTCAGGAGTTGATATCTTGGGAATATAATAAAAAAATATGATAAAGCTCAATAAAACAGTTTGATTTTTCACTTTACGATAAATATTGTATTCGATTGTTGCGTACTTGTTCTATTCCTCCCTCTCAATCACATTCATGTACGATCGTCTCTTTCTAACTCCTCTTCTTTTATCTTCGTTTCTGGTCCGGGGACGCGTCATTCCTTTTTGTATCTCTTTTTTGCCCCAAAATCTTTAATAAACAGTCACTTATTTATTAAATGTACCCATACTTTACAATATCTCTGAGGTAATTGGAAAGTCTCTTATTATTCCAACTTATTGATTATTCCCATGATGTAGATTGAAGGATCAGGTTCTATTTGTAAAAATGAAAGAACAATATCCGTATGAAAACGTACTTTTTATACTTTTTTTGTCAGAAGAGTACAGTTATTTAAGAATCTAAACCATTCGCCTGAGGAGCTCGTTGATTTTGTCCTCACGGTTACCGAAATCACCACCCTCGACGTAGTGATTGGTCTTCTTGCGCCATCCACCAGTTGGGGTGTTCAGCTAAAACATTGAATACAATATTAACCAATATGTTCATAATGTTAAATTTCATCATGATGATGTGATCATTTAATAAGCATCAAGATAAGAATAAAATGTTTAAGACCTTCAAAGAGCTGGAACAAATATTCTAGCCGAATAAATAAAGATCTTGTATTACTCTATGACGTAATAGGAGGTAATGGACTAATGAAAATCCCATGACCATGCCTACGTCAAATATATTGTAATAAATAATTAATAGTTGTTACCTTGAATGGCCAGAGAAAATTGCTGGCGTACTTGAATTTGGATCCAACTGTGAAGATTTCGTGGATCAAATCTTCAGTACAGATGAGTCCAGAGCCACCTGAAGATAAAATTGATTTATTATTTCACTGGAGAACCATTTTTTTATGCCAAAAAAATTCTTCTGGAGTGGAAAATTTTATGAAAAATGTTTGAATCGACAAATTTTTCGAATAACTCCGAAAAAATTTATTGACAAACTCACTTTATTTACGACAAGATGGAAGAGAGTGGATTTAGATGTGTTAATCAACCCTTATGGACTTGTCGATAATTAATCATTAATCCATACGTTAAAATCTATCTCCGAAGATTTTTTTTTCATAGTACACACTTTCAATAATTTTTAAATTGAAAAAAGATAATCTATTTATCAATTAAAAAAATTAAAAACAGTGAATAAAGAAAAAACGATAAATTTTCTAGGAACTTATACGAATAAAAGTTGAAGAATGATCATAATCACCAAGTTTCTGTTCAATGATGGAGTTGCTAGTGATTGGGATGCGCTGGCGATTGATCTTGGCGAAACCACGTTTGTAGATCAACTCGCGGACTGACTTGAGGTTGGGGTATCCCCAGGTAATGTATGGCTCGACGATTCGGAGCATGTTGATGGTGGCCTTGTTCAATCTGACGAAGACGCCATTGTTGATCTGTTTCAGTCTGAACAACTGAAGAACCTTGCGAACCTTGGGAGCCACTTGGTTCACACTGTAATAATAAAAATAGAATAGTTTAAAAAACCATTAAGACGAATTTTACTTGATGATAATAAGTTAATAATTAGATTGCTATTATTCAGTTTTCATTCATTTTGATAGTTATCGGTTTTTAGGGGGAAAATTTCTCTTGGAACGATTTCACTGCATGTTAATTCAAATATTCATCAACAATTGCTTACCCTCGAATACGGATGACAAAGGCAAGGCGAGCTTCTCCAGGAATGTAGTAGTTACCACGGTTCTTGGCCTGTCTCTTCAACCTAATTTCATCCCTCTCCTTCTGTCTGTATTCTTTGACGTACGACTCAGCACGCTTGAAGATTTCCTTCCTCTTCTTGTAGTGTGCAGCACGTGCCTGAACAAATAATCCCAGCCATAGACATAAACATCTTTACAAGCAAATCAGTAGCGAAGCGGTAAACCGGGTCAAGTCGAGTTTGACTATTGACCAGTTTTTACGGATATCTCGGAATCTAAAAGAGATTTTGCTATCTCTTTTAGATTTCGAGATATTCATCAAAAATTGGCCAAAAGTCAAAATCGACTTAACCCGGTTTACCGCTTCGCTACTGAATTTTCCTACTACTCCTTCTAAAACCACTTTTTTTTAAAAGTAATTCTACAACAACCGACAACTAAGACTTTCAATTTTCTATCAACTTTCTTGTTTTTATCATTTATGATTTATTAATTTTTGTAGTAATGTCTAAAATTGTAACAAAAATATTTGAGTCTAACCTTAATGGAGACTTGAAGACGAGCAGTTTTGGCTGCTTCACGTCGCTTCCTCCTCTTGAGGACAGACTCGGGGACTGCCGGGAGCTTCTTCGAAGGCTCGGCCTTCTTGTCGACCTTTTTCTTCCTGAAAGCAATAAACAAATCATTGATCACCTATTACTCATTCCGGAGCCATACGACAGCATTGCTATTACAGGTTAGAATGTCAAAACACTCTGATAACACTCGAAGAACATAAACAAATCGACGAGAATGTTCTAATTATTCTGAAGCGTTCATTTTTTGAGAATAAAAATTGTCAATTTCGGAATTTTTATCAATTACGAAGGATTATTTTTAAAGCGGTGATAGGAGCAATGAACGTCACTTTCAACAGCATAATGATCTAACACAATACTGTGCAATCCAAAAAATACGCATGTAAATATTCTCCTCAATTTATCAACAACATTTTCACAGTGGCTCATTTGCGAATTATAATTGTTTTATAGCGATGTTTTGAGATTCCGAAGGTAAGAAACGGATTTACTCACGCGTCCACCATTCTTGCGTCTCGGTAAAGAAGGACCGAGTTGTCACGCAGCCAAGTTCAAAGAGGCGATCGACTTTGCGTGTGTTCTCATGAGGTAGATAATAGCGACGGAGATGAGCCTACGGAAACGCACGAGAACCGCGGACCGGTGGACGTCGGGTGCCCGGCAACAGTTCAAACGAATATGAACCAAAACAAAGGGCTCGGCAGAAGCCATTTCTACAAAGATTTTTCCCGCTGACAGTAAAAAGTATGAAATTCATGTGAACAGTTGAAACTTACATATTTTATTCTTTTTGCTTTCGAATGGAAGCTTTGTAATCGTGATTTTTTTCGATTTCTTAATTTTGGGTGGAAATGGACAGAAATGTCATGAAACGTGAAGAAATTGTGTTTTTAAACAAGCAGGGGACAGCGAGCATATGCCAGCGCGTCATGTGACAGTGAGCATGCCACTAAGTAATGTCTTTTTTTTTTTCGCTTTAAAACATTGATGACGGGCTTCCGAATGGTCTAAAATATTACAAGTTTATAGCTTTACAACACTAACTAGCAGCAAAAATTTCAGATATAGTTAGTCACCTCCATGGGTGCTATTAAAATTCCAATGTTTCGAATACTTCGTATGAGCGGGTATACATATTTTCTGTCCAAATTTCAAGTTGATATCTCCATTTTTGCACAAACTAGAGTGTTTACAAAGTTTTTCTATGAAAAACGGAAAAACAAGAGTATTTCGAAAACTTTGTATGAACTGGTATAATATGTTTTGATTGATTTAGATGGAAGGCGTCGAAATGAATATTGAAAAAAAAATTAATCGAAATCGGTCCACTAGGTTTGAAGATATTTGCGAAAAACAATTGATAAATGAATCACTATCAATGAAACCATTCATCTCCATAATTATTATTAAGAATCCAAGTTCATGGGGTGTTGGAGAAAACAATAAACTGCACTAGGTTATTGTCAATACGCGACGTTTCGCTTGTAATTCAAGCTTTCTGAGGCTCTTGATATTTAAGTACATAGTCACATTATTCTCTAATGAAATGCATGCCGAGATCTTTAAACACATCTGTAAGTAAATAAAAAACGTAAAACCTGACTAGCAACATGTGATGACTGATCGAAGTGACAGATGATAGTCGTATGAGATTGTTGCTAGTCAGGTTTTACGTTTTTTATTCACTTACAGATGCGTTTAAATATCTCGACATGCATTTCATTAGAGAATAATGTAACTATGTACTTAAATGTCAAGAGCCTGAGGAAGTTTGAATTACAATAAGCGAAACGTCGCGTATTGACAATAACATAGTGCAGTTTATTGTTTTCTCCAATACCCCATGAACTTGGATTCTTAAATGAATCACTTTTTCTCAAAAACTATTAGCTCGATCGGGCTGAAATTTTGCATAGAGCTAATCCTTATTAGCACCTATAATCTGACATTTCAATTTTTTTAGAATTACTTTAGCTACTTAGTTACTTGATTTTCTAACAATTGACCACTGGGAAGGTGGTTGGCAGTGGACGTGATCACATACAGATATGGTCGCCAGACTTCGTATTTTTACGTTGCAGATGTTTCTACATAATTTCCAATCAAAATTAGAGAATGTGAAAAACGAACGATTGCAATGCTTGCATTCGGAAGCAAAAATATCTGTATGTGTGTAAGTATGTATATGCATGCTAATAAATTTTCCACCATTTACTCATTTCAGTTATTTGAATTGAAAAAGAATTCGATCTCCTTTTCACTCCTTGCTCGTTGAATACTCACCTTGAAGTCAACAAGCTCGCCTAACTTCAGTCAGATATCTGACACTCAGCCAATGGCTGTGCGGCTACTCTTAAAAAAAAAGACATCCAACACGTTGGTAAACACGTTGTGGCCGCTCCATTCAGTACTCCATTATTTATATTCATCCAATTGATTAAACAATCAAGTGATAAAGCATGGTTGACAGCGACGACGAAGTCCCCCAATTGAGTGCGTCTACCCTCGCAGCCCTCCAGGAATATTACACAGAGTGTCAAGAAAGAGAAGACCAAATGAAAAAGATAATGAATAACGATCGAGTAAACAATGGGCAAGAAGAAATTGACAATGTCACCTTTGGCGAGGACTGGGTATGGGATTAGATAAAAAATAATTACTTTTCAGGCACAATCTAGTCATTAATAATTAATGAGGGACTTCATTATTTTACAGCAACTGAGTCAATTTTGGTACGACGATGAGACAGTAAATACTTTAGTTAAGGGTGCAATACGAGCTACAGGAGTTGATGGGAAAATCGGGCTTATATCGTGTCCGACGTTGTATAAATCATTGAAGAGAAATGCTGGAGATAGGACGGGTAATAAGAAAAATACTCCACTTCTTCAAAAAAAACTCCACCTTCCTCAGCCATTAACCGTCATAACAGCAATTTAAATACAAATCAATAAAGGAAAGAATCCAAAGAAAAATGAAACAATTCTTCCACTAATTGCCAACGTTTCGAACACAAAGTGTTCTTCATCCGGGCATTCATTTATTCTAATAATCAACCCATTAGTTACTTAAAGGTTGTGACAAAAATATCTTTAACCAAAGAATTTTCCGACTTGTGCAAAGCACAAACATCCAACAGACACTTGTTAGAGCACCTCATAACTGTCATCTACAAGTTACACGCAAGGATGGCTGAGGAAGGTGGAGTTTTTTGAAGGTGAATGGAAACGGTTGGAATAATTTTTGAAGAAAAATACTCTGTTGAGATTGAATAAGAGATCGTCAAGGTATGCCTAAATTCTTTCTCTCTTTATTTTAGTGACATTATTCGAGTATGATACGAGATTCTCAATATTTGTAAAAGATTTTGTGCGATACGATTATAAATCACCACTGAATCTACCTCGAGATATGTCGAGTATGTACGATCTCGTAATAGCAGATCCTCCATTTTTATCTGAAGAATGTTTAACAAAGACTGCAGTTACCATGAAATTTTTAACCAAGAAAAATATGGTACTCTGTACAGGTACAGTCATTTCATTCGCTTATTTCTTCTTTAGTTTAAGGGGAAATGGAACCCCTGTGTCTATATGAACTTTTAGAATTATGTTTTCTCTTGCAATAATTATTTTTTATTAATGAAACTACTTCATTGACTCAACAATGCAATGATCGAGTCGATAAAGTAATTTCATAGAAAAAAATTCTGCACCGAAGTGGTAAATTAGGATAAGTGCGAAAATGGAACTTTTTCAAGGAGACTTCAAAAACTTGACAACGTTTGAGAGAATTTCCGATTCGAGCAATAGAAAGTTTTTCAAAAAATTGCACTCATCCTAGTTTACCACTTCACTACAGAATTAATAATTGTAGGGGAGAGTGGGACAAAATGAAACAGTCGAAAAATGACTGTTTGATGCAATTCAACCAAAATAATTTTTTTTTGTTAAATATTTTTTTTATTAACTTTTGTTTATTAACTTTTTTTTAATTCTTGAGAGTACTAATGAGAATAATAATTTTCCATTCAGTAGAATGAAAAATTATGGAGAAGTTTTGACGGGAGAAGATTTTCTCAATGGATTAATTGAAAACAAAATGAAGCAGCGAAATCCAAAGTCCAGAGGAAGCTCAGGGGGAAACTCAGAGGGGGAAAAAAGGAAAATGTGATGCTGAATTTCAATCGAATGAAAAAAGAAAAGTGTAATCGGCCTAATTTAATCAATAGAATTATAAGACGAATAGAAGATTATTATTCTCATCAGTACTCTCAATAGTAAAAAAAGTTGATAAAAAAAAAATATTTAACAAAAAAAAATTTTTTTACTTGAATTGCGTCAAAAAGCTATTTTTTGACTGTTTCATTATGCCCCACTCTTCCCTAGGAGAATAAACAATTCTAAAAGTTCATAGAGACACAGGGGTTCGGTTTCGCCTTAAGAGTGTTTTTACTAAATTGAGGGATGACTCCAGGTGCTGTCATGGAGGATTTAGCTGGAAGACTCCTAGATCTCCGAAAATGTAAATTCGAGCCACACCACAAAAATAATTTAGCCAATGAATTTTATTGTTATTCTAATTTTCATTTTGATAAACTGTTGGAATGATTACATTGGCTTTATTGTGGTTAGAGTTTTGAGTATGTGTTGAGGTGAGCGTCTTGAGCGAGTTTTATGGCGTATTTGGCTGTGCCGGGTGCTGTACAGACTCCGTAACCACCGTGGCCGTAATTGTGGACAAGCTGGAAGGGATGATTTTCATTTAATTTGTTCCATTGAACAGCGCAGGGGTCAAATTTTGTTAAATATTGAATTATTTCGATAATGAGTAGCTTTAGGAGAAGTTAGATTTTTTTTTGTAATTTTCTTCTCTACAACAGAAATTGTCTTCAGCCATTTTTTTCCTGAACGCGATAGTTTTCGAGATAAACCAGCAATTAACAAAGATGACAGTATACTCTTTTAGTATTGGGTAAAAAGTCAATTTTTCATATCTGATTAAGGCGCGGGTGGATTATCTTTCGAACGTCATCTTGATTGTTTTTATTATTTTGGTAATCTGGAATGATCTTCAATTGCTATTCAGTTTTACATAGCCCTGGCGTCTCCAAAAATTATGATGGTACAATCAAAAACATGTTCAAAAAAGCTAAAGATTTTCAAAGAGCGTTTTTGAATAATATTGGGAAATAAACCCAATAGGGAGGAAATTACAAATTAATAATTTGATGTATATAATGGCTGTTAAGTCGTCATTTGTCACAGTAGTCGATGGCTGTCAGATCGTTAGCATGATAAATTATCTATTCACTATTTCTTCTTTATCGGACTTATTTACCAATCTTTATTAAAACGCTCTTTGAAAATGTTCAATTTTTTTCTACTTTTTTTTATTGTACAATCATAATTTTTAGGGACTCCTGCGTGATGTAAAAACAAATGGAAATTGTGATATATTTTACATTATGAAGATGGAAAAATAATCGAGATAACGTTCGAAAGATAATCCACCCTGGCCTTAAATGACAAATTATTTCGATATAATGAGTGATTTTGGGATAAAATGTAGAAAAACATTGTGAGCTTCGTAATATTTTCTCTTAAAACCATTCGGTTCTAATTTCATGAATTGAAAATGGATAGAATTAGCAAAACATCAGCATCTTTGATATCTAACATACAGTAGCAGATCGACGTCCATTTGAAATTTTTTCAATTTCCACTCGGACCCCTCCGTCTCTATGTGGCCGAAGCCCCACTAGACTCTCGATCACTTCTGCATTCTTGAGTGAAGGCACGAGACTAGTGCATCTCTCATGAATGGCTCTAGTTTCATGGGCACACGGAGACATTCTCGTAGAATCATAATTCCTGGATCCACCCAGAGTGCAGGACCCATCTATTCCGGGGATGATGTACGTATCCAATTCGCCGTAGAAGAAAGTCTTTAGCCATGGAGCTTTCACCTACATATTAATATAATGATTCTCCACTTGCCATTACCATATGATAATTCAATCTATTTATTTATTTTTTTTATTATTGTTTAAAGGGCAGAAATCATCTATTTATTTGAGAGTTAAATTAAGGGAGATGTGACCTTCAGTACTTGTCCTCTCATGGGAACCATTCGTCTGTCTCCACTGAGTTCTGTAGCCCCCAGACCCGCGCAGTTTATTATGACATCATAGTCGTCAATTAATTCATTCACGTTGTATAATTTTCGTTTGTAGAATTTCGTGCCGGTCTGTTCAAGTCTATAACACGCGATAATTAGCTAGACTGCATATGGAGGATAAAACAAGCAGTTTTTACTTTTTGTCTTATTAGCCTTTCTCTTTCTTTTATTCCTACCAATTCCATTGGTACTAAGCTTCCAAATGGACCCTTATTAATTCCCTATACCCTGGCGATTGAGGTTCCATGGTACATCCATGTTGTAGCATGGATGTAGCATGGATGTGCATGGATTTCATTTTAAGGCGAAAAATGGGCCAAAAATGATTGGAATATAATCAAAAAATTATTTACATGCTGATAGACAAACAATTGGTCCCAATTAATACCCATTAATAGGTTATTTTGTATAATTAGGAGAAATTATTGATGGTGTGCTGTGTGGTAAAGAAGCTCAGATGGGAAATGCCGCGAGATGGCGCCAGTGTTAAATTATCGAGTCTGCGGGAAACTGTCAGCACTCGCAGACATATTTTTTATTCTATTTCACTTATGAATATTAGATAGGTTTGGGGGGGCAGGGGGGTTGATTTGGAATATTAGCACCAATCCATTTTGCCCCATTTGGCGAATTTCGCAATACATTATTGTGGGGGG